TATATATATATATCAAATGTAAATTTCAAACTGACTCAAAGCGTATTCGAACTAAGAATATCCCTATATATAATTAATTATCTCCTAATTCTTTTATATGTGCATAGTACATCTTTATAAAGATGAAAATCCATAATCATTAATAAACGGATTAACTACCTTTTACTTTTAAACGAGCTTTGGATTTTTAACTTTTGAAAAGAAATAACACTTTAGACGTAGTTGATTTTTTATAAATTGTCTTCTGAAAATATTTTATATCTCCACAATACTTTTTAGCTACGGTAATATCTGAATTGAAAAAATATTGAGATAGCAAGTTTTATTAAATTAATATCGCTTCATATAAAATAGAAAATTATTGCAATACGGAGCTCATCGAGACCTACCAATTGTCCTTGTGTTCTGGTTGTCTAATTTACAGGCGATAGTCTTTACCGTATGTAATCTCAATTAATTTTCTTCATTTATATCCTGAAATTAATGTTTTCTAATGTTGTTTCGTATAGAGTGGCACGATGAAGACACTAGAATTTTACTCTGGCATTGGTGGCATGCATGCAGCCCTCAAAAGTAACAAGTTTGCTTCATTACTATAGGATATATTTAGCTTCTGGTTTACCCCATGAGGTTATAAAGGCCTTTGAGATAAATGACGCTGCTAACTCTATATACAATGAGGTCTTTAATTGTTCTTACGCAACCAATCGAACGATTGAGGTAACAGTATTGTCCCTTATATTTAAAGAGCTTATCAGAAATGGAATGCCTTGCATACGATGCAGAGTTGTGGACAATGAGTCCACCTTGTCAGCCATTCACGAGATTGGGAAATAAACAGCATGGGTTGGATAGCAGAAGCTCCTCGTTACATAACATCATTGATTTGATTAAAAAGTGGGTCTATTCGGAATAATTGATAATGATTTCAGGGTTAAACCTCCCGCCATATTTCTCGAAAATGTTAAGGGTTTCGAAGGTTCGGATATCTGGAAAAGACTGATTGAAACCCTTATCCTATGCAATTATGACATTCGAGTACGTAAAATACCACTTATTTAAATTAAATAGCAATTTTTATTAACACCGCTTCAATTCGGTGTTCCCAACTGTCGGCTACGATATTATCTTGTTTCTAAACTGCGGATAAATGGTAGTCAAAGTATGTTTAAGTTTGGCGAAATTACTACGGATCCCCAAAGTTTTCTGGAAAATATCGAGGACAACATTATTCGCCTACCAGTTTTCGACGTTGAACCGATGCCTGGTTGCGAATGCGTGGTCTGTACAAAGAAAGTAAAGTAGGTAGGATGAAGTTTATCGCTTACTTGTTTTAGACATATAAATTCTATTGAAAATGACTACGAGCAGTATCTTCCATTTTGCAGCCACGTGTCTAGTTACTTGCTACCAGATAATGAAATACCCGTAACTTGAAATAATTACAATACAGCCTTTTCATCAAGGAGGATATCTATTTAGGTCAAGACATGCTCAAGAAGTATTATCGTGTTCTTGATATTATTGAACCTGATAGCCATAAAACGGCATGTTTTACAAAAGGCTATGGTCGACGTTATGAAGGCACGGGTTCGTTTCTGTCCTTATCAAAGGTAGATATTTTCTAAATCAACCAAACTGCTCTCATAAACTTCAAAAAAAGCTATTTATTTAGGTAAATATGAGCGATGTTGACGAATACCATTTCCCAAAGTTGAGACGTTTTCATTCCAAAGAAATCGCTAAAATCATGTGTTTTCCGGATGACTTCGGTGAGATGAGACTTTCCTGCTTACCTAACCTAAAACTATTCAGAATTTCCTCCAAATTTTACGGAAAAACAGAGACTTAAACTCCTTGGAAATAGCATAAATGTACGCGTCGTCGCTCATATAATGCACTGGACACTTTCACCTTAATGAATTGAAACCAAACCGACTTTTCAATGAAGATGAGAACTCATGTAATATTGTGTAATGTCGTTTAGTAATATTATATACAAAGAAAATTAACAATGCTTAAGAAGACTCAAATAGTTTTTCATACTTTTCCTTCCACTCTTTCGCAGTTATCTTTTGGGGAAGTATATCAGAGAGGAAGGAGAATCGGTCGTGCACATTTTGAATACTGGACAAGTCCTTGTAATTAATTTCGTTGCTTTCTCGTGGCTTCGATAAAAGGACCATTTCTTTAACGAACAATTCCTATGCAATTATAAATGTATATACAAATTACTTACTGTTGCTTTAATCATTGCTATTACTGCGTCACTGCTGACGCAGTCCACCTCCGGAGAACTTTTCATCATATTCCTCATTCTAGAAGAAGAAATGCAAAGAGGAATATCACTTAATTCATCCTTAGTGCTTAGGTCCTGCATTTTTCGATAGATTGTGCTCATGTGGGTTAAAATGCCTCAGTTTGTGACCTTAATGTATTATGCTTTACGTATATCTAAAATAAACATTTGGGGGTTAAAGTTTTTATTCGAATTATATTTTGCCAATGTGAGGAGTAATTTTTATTTTGCAAAAGAGATCATTGGAATAGAACATACTCATGGGCAGAAGAGTATTGCGGCTATATTTCACTAAACCAATTGAAGCCACGCCGAGTTTCATAAAGCAAGCGAATAGTAATAAGCACAAATTAGTTGAAGAATTTGAAAATATGTGTTGTATATGGTAATATGAAACAAAATAACCGACAATCATACTCAAAGGAATGAAGCATCTTTGTGTAAATAATGAAGAGAATTTAGTATAATTCTGTAGATAAAACTCTAAGAACCGTAACATAAAAGAATTTTTGGAGCCTTCAAAATGGCATCGCAAATTTCCATATCGGAGAAAAATAACTGAAATAAATACATATTAACAAAAAGTAAATGTAATCATGTCAGTTTTAAAATTATTACATAATGTTCTAATGTCTTCATTAGAACGAATGAGTGTATAAAATGGATATTTAAATACATATTTATTTTAATAATAAAGTTTTTAGTTTAATGGGTTTTTTGTGAACATGGAAGGTAAATTAAGAATTAATGTATCAATTTCGGCTTCAAAAAATGCAAAGATAATATTAAGAAGTGACAGTTTATTTTTCAACAGATATCAAAACACCCTCACTTAATCAGATTGTAGAGAAGTTAATCCAGTTTAAATCAAGGCAATAATATCGATTTTATATTTGTGCGTGCATTGTTGAATAAGCAAATATTATGTGACTGGATACATGTAAACAAATAATAGACGTATATATATATATATATATATATATATATATACGTGTGTGTCAGTGTGAGTGAGTGTAGGTGTGTGTTCGTTATTAGGCTGCTTATATTCCCCTTAATTTCATATATCATCAATTAAATCTTTTATCTGTTCACTGAATAGGTTTTGTAGCTAGTTGTTCCTGCTTCATCAGATTAAGTTAGTGTTAATGCATGCCGCAAATTATTCCGAACTGAAAATACTGGTACATTAGATTCCGCTCCAGTTGGTTCCTAGATATTCAGCGTCAGTACTTACGCAGATAACTTGGCATATCCGATTTATAAAATAATTCGTAATTGTTATCTGAAAACTAAAATTTAATGATAGACCTTCCAATTTACGTAATATAAAATCAAGTCCCAGTAAGGATATTCAGATTTTATCGCCACTCAATAATGTAATGCTTTCACATTTGTATATACATTTAAGCAACTTTTCCTTTTCTGTCAATGACCCTGGAGTATTTTATTTTTACGGGCTCTAAAATTGCCTCCCATATTATTCTTCGCAGGTAAATTGTTAAGTCTTTTTCTCCATTTATTTTAACCTTATAGAAGTATTCGCATACAAATATTTTATTTTGTCTTAAAAACTTCCTAACTAAAGAGTCCCATTCTTCCTGAAAGTTCATTTTCTTACTAACAATCGTTTTGAAATTGTACATCAAAATCGGTGATTGCAAATAGCTTATTTAGCTATCCTCATCCTCCCATTTTCGAATACCGCGTCTTAAACCCTCCTTAACAGAATCTTTACTGCTCTTCCCGCCAATTGTAAGTAAAATTATTCTTCCTATAATTTTCACAATACTTTTCTCTCTTGCATATTAAAATTAAAAATATTTAGTAACCACTTATCTAAGCCAATGAATAAACAAATTATATGTTCTATTTAATTCGGATATGTAATGCTTACCACTTCTTTTTAGGATTAATCATGTTCAATGCAATATTGAACTGTTTGCGATCGTTTATACCATTTTCACTTGAATATTTGGTGTATCAACTAAAACTATTTCCAATAATACTAAAATAAATTATTTAAAGCAGTTTAACTGTTTAAAAATTAAGAATATTAAATAAATATTTTGTTTTATGTCTTTCCCATCTGAATCAATATTAAATTAATATGCTTACATGAACTCGTGCCATATCTTAAGGTTATGATGCCCTTTCGCGCCATTGTAATCAACCACTTTAACAGACGATCAGCACTTTTATCAGCTGCACTTACGACTCGTATAATGGAGTCGTTATCAAAAGTTGAAGTCGGAAAAAAATGCGCTGCCTATAAAGCTGTCGACGACTGGCTTAAAGTAATTTTATACTTTCTGTAATTATAATTACAAGGATGGTCAAACCATTGGTATTGGAAGTGGTACAACTGTTGTTTATGCCGTCGATAGAATATCCGAGCTTGTTAAAGAGAATGGATACAAAGTTCAATGTGTTCCAACTTCTTTTCAAGTATTTTTCACTTCATAATATTTGTCCTTTAGGCACTTCAATTGATAAAGAATGCCAATCTGCCGCTTACTTCTCTAGAAGATCATCCTCAGGTATTGTTTTTATACAACTCTCATATTGCAATTAGTTAGATGTTGCTTTTGATGGTGTAGATGAAATTACACCCGATTTCAATTCGATCAAAGGTGGTGGCGGCTGTCTTATTCAAGAAAAAATTGTCGATGCTAATTCAAAGATTTTCATAGCCGTGGCTGATGAAGGGTAGTAGAAAATTTTTATTTATGAATTTATTCAATTAGAAAGTTGTCAACTTATCTTGGTGAGCATTGGAAACGTGGTCTTCCAATTGAAGTGATTCCTATGGCTGCTATGACAGTAAAAACGGAAATCGAAAAACGATGGGGTGGCGAGGCAAATTTGAGAATGGGTGTTTCTAAAATGGTACGCTTTCTAATTGCCATAAACCTTAATGTTTTAATTTGTGTTTTTTATTTTTTTTTTGTTGTTACCCAATTTAGGGACCTGTTGTCAGTGACAATGGAAATTTCATTATGGATTGGAAATTCGATCCAAGCCCAGAAATTGATTGGCAAAAAGTGAATGTTGATTTACATCTTATTCCAGGTAAGATGCCCGATAAAAAATCCACCTGCTGTAAAACTGAGAGAGAGAGAGAGAGAGAAGAATATTTGTTCATATTGATAAACTTGTAGGAATGCATTTTTGGCTTATACTTTAAAAACCCTCAGGACTGGTTTAAAATTGTTTCTCAAAAGCCAGACTACTAAGCTAGTGTTTACAGATGATGGTTGAACAGGCCTTTTTAAATACTCTAAATTATGAAGTTAAATTCTTTAAGGGATAGTTCTCCCTTTTTCATGGCGAAAAAACTTATACAAGCAACATTTTTTAATTGCATCGGTTGCCTATTTCCCAATCACATTTGTATAATTATATTTTAGGTGTTGTTGGAACCGGTCTTTTCCTCGGCACTGCTCACCATGCTTACCTTGGCACGGCTGACGGCAGCGTTAATGTGATCCAAAACCCCAATAATTAAACCCTCTTCCCCTGCCTCGTGTAAATTTATATTAGTTTTACTAAGATTTCAGTGCAATCGCTATTGCTGTTTGATTCTCACTTCCTCGATTTTCTTATTCCCGATTCCGTTCAATTAGTTGTGCTTTCAAAAGGGCAACAATATGTAACTTTGATATCTAATACATTGGATATTAGTACTTCTAAAGCAAACTGTTAGCTAATCCATGTCATTTGCAGTTTTCTAAACGGGCTATTAAGAAAGTAGGCTGATAATAGCATCACTAATGCTCAAATTGTCCACCTCTCATCTACACTCAATGAACTCCTCTCTGCCTTTAAGTTGTTTCAAAATGGCCAAACAATCTATTCATTTATCAAATCTTCCATTAGTGTGCTCATATTGAATCAATGATTAATATTACACAGCTCACCTACTGCACACCACAAGAGGCGAAAATCGTATTTGATGGAAATATGCAACAATGCATACCAAAATGAATAATACTCGATAAGAACTATTCTTATCTGCCTTTACTTAAGTACAGGTACTAAATATTTGTTAGGTAAGCACGTTTAATAGCACTCCAACCATGATTTATAAAACCCATCTACTGGATACCCAATAAGCAACAAGCCTGGAAATTCAAGTAAAGCCAAAGAGGCACCTTTTTAAACAAGACACTGGGAGGAGTAGGCTGTACAGAAAGAGGACACACTAGAGTTAGTATTGAGATTTGTAAAGGCGAGGGAGGTGTTCCAAACCAGGAGGTATGTAGATTCGCCCTTGGAGAGAGGAGAATTGAACAACACGATTGAACCATCGCATTGCATTCAAGGAGGCCACATAGTACTTCTCTAACCGTGTCAAATCCATTAGTTTTGGCAAAATTTTCAATCCATCGTCAAGTTGTTCAAAGTTCTCAAAAATGGCATCTAGAAATGGGGAAAAAACATGACATTTAAATACCTGGGTGGTAGGTATTACATAGAGACCGACCCATAGTCTAACCAAGAGAAAATAAGCTCCTTGAAACGCCATTCCATCGGCCTATTGACAAACCATGTTACGAAGTTTGGCTTTACTACAAGATGCGGGGTTCGTAGAATGGCAGAATAAGTGGGATTAGGAGTTGAAAATAGGAAAACCAATTGAAATGAACACATTCAGACGGAATCTCCTGCAGGAAGACATATTAGAGCTAATCTTAACTACCACTTACAAATAAGAAAATACCAAGACACGATTTCAAATTTTAACTAATATGGAAAGAATGGGCTACCCGCTTAAAGGCACCATTTCACAATTCCCTTATTTAAAATCTCAACTCTAAAAATGGTGTATTATCTCATCAAAGTTGGTGATTCCGAAGCTTGCTTAATTAGTACAAATAGACCCCCTACAAGAAACTTAACAAGCACTTTCGAGTACTGCAAAGGTAGTTAATCTGCGCTACAAACACTATAAGTGCTAATCTCGACTTATATACCATAAAAGATAACAAAGTTGCACACAAATGTAGTTATATTTTTATATCAAAATATCCAAAATCGATAGCTCAGAGGAGGAAAAAAAGACCTATAATTCAAACCATGGCATATTTAAGGACATGAGCTATTTGAATTCGCTCGAGAAATAAAAGGCGCAAAAAATCTGAAATCAATAATTAATGCACTGGATTCAACTAATAATCTCTCACTCCCTCCCTCTCTCTCTTCAATTCGTTTATTTGCTTTTCCAAGACGTGAAGCTCTATGTTTTGCCCTGACACAGGTGATACTAATTTGGTTAGGCAGCAGTGCAGCAATGGAAACACTTCACAACCAGGCACGAGCAAACAGTTAACGCAACTCCTCCCAAAGAACTCAATGAATTCGGCCCAATCGATCGAAAATAATCAATCAGAATGCTGGCATACTTGAATCAAGAATAAGCATTGTAATACAGCAAAAACAAACCTCAGAAGTTAATTCACTTGATCGGCTCATTCGAGCAGTTTACTGTGTGACAGCCACAACAAACTAGACGCACCAGAAAATCTCATCAAATGGATGATGTTATAACCTTATGCAGTCGCCAAAACGACCAAAAACTCCACAGCTCCAAAATAATACTCCACTAGTCGGCTTTACTCCACAAGTGAGCAAGGCAGCGACCTCGCACAATTTAGCACATCTTAACGAACAAGCAAATTTTGTAAAATAATAATTTTTTTTCGTGAGGAAAAACATATATTTATTTCCATACAAAAGATAACAAATGGCTTACTTTCGGTCTCCGTGGCGTCAGGCGTGAGAGCGGAAATGCGTCGTACAAGCTCGTCGTAGAGCAGCGAGTCGCCGGATATGGCGAGAGCGTCAGTCAAGGTGGCCATAACGTGAAGGAGAATGTGAACAATGCAGTGACCAAGATTGGGGAATGCACAACTCAACCGGCAGAAAGCTGGACCACAAGCCAAAAGAACTGCGGGCAGGTCATTCACACAGAGGACAGCTGCATTGTGGGTAAAATAACAATGTAAATTAAAATAACCGAAAACTGTCGTGATTTCAATTCAACAAAATTCACATTTAGGACTTCGTTATATTTGAAGTGCGGGGTGTGCGATATACTTACTTCCACGTGGCGCACCCTGGACAACGCCTACTCATACGGCAAAAAAGTCTATTAACTGGCAG